CTGATACTACTATAGGACTATCGCTGACACAGCTGATACCACCATAGGACTATCACTGACACAGCTTATATTACGATAGGACTATCACTGACACAGCTGATACTACCGTAGCACTATCACTGACATAGCTGATACTACCGTAGGACTATCACTGACACAGCTGATGCTACCGTAGGACTATCACTGACACAGCTGATATTACGATAGGACTATCACTGACACAGCTGATACTAACGTAGCACTATCACTGACACACCTGATACTACCATAGGACTATCACTGACACAGATGATACTACCGTAGGACTATCACTGACACAGCTGATATTACCATAGGATTATCACTGACACAGATGATACTACCATAGGACTATCACTGACACAGCTGATACTACCGTAGGACTATCACTGACACAGCCGATACTACCATATGACTTTCACTGACACAGCTGATACTACCATAGGACTATCACTGACACACCTGATACTACCACAGGACTATCACTGACACAGCTGATACTACCGTAGTACTATCACTGACACACCTGATACTACCATAGGACTATCACTGATGCAGCTGATACTACCATAGGACTATCACTGACACAGCTGATACTACCGTAGGACTATTACTGACACAGCTGATACTACCATAGGACTATCACTGATACAGCTGATACTACCGTAGGACTATCACTGACACAGCTGATACTAACGTAGGACTATCACTGACACACCTGATACTACCGTAGGACTGATACTACCATAGGACTATCACTGACACAGCTGATACTACCATAGGACTATCACTGATACAGCTGATACTACCGTAGGACTATCACTGACACACCCGATATTACCATAGGATTATCACTGACACACCTGATACTACCGTTTGACTATCACTGACACACCCGATATTACCAAAGGATTATCACTGACACACCTGATACTACCGTAGGACTATCACTGACACCCCCGATATTACCATAGGACTATCACTGACACACCTGATAGTACCATAGAACTATCACTGACACACCCGATATTACCATAGGACTATCACTGACACACCCGATATTACCATAGGACTATCGCTGACACGCCTGATAGTACCATAGGACTATCGCTGACACACCTGATATTACCATAGGACTATCACTGACACAGATGAGGCTACCCTATGATCTCTTCCACAGTATTATCGACTTCGTGTGATGTTGTCACCATTTAGCTATTGGCGATTTCCTTTGTACCCAAGACCATTTTATCTGCATTTTCCTCCAAAACGAAATTCAGGGGATTTAATTTATTTTGGAAAACTACATGGTGTGGTGCCTGTACTTGTTAAGAAGTCCTCATTATAGGAATATCTAAAATATGTTTGTGAGTGTAGAATTTGGGTAAAAACCGAGAATTTGACGAGATTCCGAGTCCAAATACTACTCCCAATGGAGAATTTCCCTATCCGGCCAAACCTTACATGACGCCTCCCAAATTAATAGCTACCAAGAAATGTACATTGCCAGAAAATATTTCATATCATTAATAATTTTGTGCTTGTTTTTCTCTTACGGTATAACGATTTAGGTATTTGGCGGTTTTTCTATCCAATTATTACGTGAAGAAGAAATAGACAGATGCCAATGGAAACGCGGACTTATCAGGTTTCCATGGACCACAAATAACATCTTCCTTCGGTGCAATGAACGGTGTTATTACACACTAACAATGTACATCGCCGGGACGAAACTGGAGCAAACAATTAATAACGGCAGAGCTCCGGCGAGAAAGCACTTGAAAAATTGACCGTAGCAATACCGATGTAGTACCGCGTTCCCGTTGTCATACCGTTGTTCTACCATTTACCTGCCGATGTGCTGCCGAATGCCACTTTTCTTTCACCTTAGTGTTACGATGCGCCGCCAATGTTATACCAGGGCATCAGTACTACTGCGATGGTATTCGGTAGTACCGATCACGGGGCGCTATCAGTGCTCTGCCGACCGTTGTAGTCCCATTGCCCGCTCTGGCAGCGCAACGGTGGACATTTTTGAGCATGTTCAAAAATGTCTACCATCGCCTGCCATTGCCAAATTTTTCGCCGATGTCCTGACGATGTACTACCGTTCCTAGCGATGAGATACCGTTGCGCTGTTGTACTAGTATCGATCCCGGAAAATCGCCAAATGTGCGCTCCGGTATAGCTCCGGCGACCCAAATCGGCGAGGTGTGACAGGGTCGATGTGGAAACCTACAGTGCAACATGTACAAAAAAACAGGTATGCATTAAGAGTGAACGCAGGAGAGAAATAGTATACCTCAGTGTTCATGAATAAAAATATTATCAGCACGAGACAGTGGACTGAAACTTTGTCGGAAACATGAGCAGAGACTGCATCAAATACAGGGAGGAAATACAGGAGAAAGGGAAAGAATAGTGAAGGGGGGAAAAAGAGAGAGAACTTGAGCTCATGAAAACAAAGTTATTGTCCCGAATTTTATCTCTACGGAAAAGCGACTAAAAAGCTAGATTATCTAACAGTGTTCGGAAAGGGGTACCAGAGTGTTGTTGATAATTGATATAGTGAGTCTGGTATAAAATATGTATGAATTTAAAACCATTTTGTAACCATTTACCCTGTTAACCCTACACATGCAATGACATGACGTCATTGAGATACCTATGACTGGAGAATCCCCTCGTCTCAGCCCTATTAGTATAGTGAAGCAGAGACGTATTTACTTTATGGAGGCGTCATTTTGACAGCGTATACGGTAGTATGAACGCAGTTGGCAATGGTCATATTTTATGGTGCGCGTTAGCGCTCCATAAAGAATATGTTCGTTGCCAACTGCGTTCATACTACCGTATAGCCGTCAAAATGAAGGCCAATCCTTATATTTACATTCAAAAAAAATTTAAATGCTACATTACGCAGAAAAAAAAGTCGAAACGGGTTGCCACGATGGTAACTACGGTAGCCATCGATATATGAGTAAATTTAGAAAATACGCAGTGAACAACACAGTTTTTTTCCTTTCATGGTTTTTAAATTTTAAATTTAGCAATGTGAGAAAGCCTTCGAACTTTTCTATTCATTTACAACGGTCATCATATACACGCATTGACACACTGCTCATGGAGTGACGCGGTCGGATGTTTCAGAACGAAGCCGCCATTGTTGACGTTACCGACAAAGAAATTATAATGTGCATCCATGGAATAAGAAGTTTCCCAGCATTCTTGTGTTGTATAATTATACATAATGGATCCCGAATATGTTCTATGTATCTAGATGGTGAATGAACCAACCATTGGTTGTCATTGGACTGTTATCTCGCTGAAGCGTGAACGGCGCCATATTTGAAACAAGTATCAATCCGCCGAGCCTTTTTTCACTGCGTATACGCTTATTTATACGCAGTCGGAGTTTACTAAGCTGCTTCGTCTGCTGGTGACCGGACTACTCGGTAGTGAAGCGGACGTAAAACCAACAAGATACAAGACACAAGAAACTTTATTTAACGTCGCATACAGGTAAACAAGGAACATTAGCTCTTGGGAGCTATTATTGCGACAAACATATGTAAAAATAACAATTACATCAATCAATCAATGAAGTACTAAGCTGAAGACGGGAGACATGTAAATATTATGGCTTTATATGTCTCTGAGTGAAACAAGATACATTTGACCAGGGTAATAAAATGGTATGACACATAACGAACATTGTTATTAAAATTAATTTAAAGAATAAAATTACCTTAGTCTTAGATAACTTGTTTGCATACATCTAACGTTACTCTGTATTTTTGTTATACGGAGGATTACGCGCAGACGAGTTTATAGCCGGACAAAGCTTACAACAAAATATACATTTGAGACTACACTATCATGAGTATAAAAAATATAGTGAACCGTACGTTTTGCGGTACATGACCAGAACCAAGTTCTAACTATCTTTACAGTTTATATCGTCTTTTAACGCATATAATTCCTTCACAACAGAAATAACTATGCACAAACAAATATAATTTGATTGATACAGTATTACGTCGCTGTCGATTGTCGCGCTAAAAAGACCGGACGGACACAAATAAATCTTTACGCTAGAGTTCGGAGGGTCTCGGATTCGAACCCCGGTCTGGTTGTGCATATGCAACGTGATAAACCGTACCCTTCCCGCCGTAGCACTAACTTCGTGGCTCGGAGAGCTGGCTTTACCACTGAGCCACGTATATACATGCGTGCAGTGCCCTAGTTATACAATGTAGTACAAGCGTAGATGATTATTGGGTTTCCAATATACAGGCTAGGATAGATTTTATCTTATGGATCAGTACTACTAATAATAATAATACTGAATAATAATAATATACAACATTTATATAGCGCCCTATATAATTTGTTAATTACTCTAAAGCGCTTTACAACATATGGATAATAGTAATGGTTATAATTGTAAAAACAAAAAAACAAAGGCTTACAATCACTTTTATACATTTAAGCAAGTAAAGTGCACATAATTGAACAAATAAAAAGGTGGTATTTACATAACGTCTTTGCAAAGATTCTAAAATGCAGACGTGATGAAGAGGTGAGTTTTGATGTCCCTCTTGAACTTGGCCAGACTACGTCTCCGAAGTGGACATTTTTCTTTTGTCTAAACTCAAATGCTTGCGGTAAGTTCTAACACGGAATTAGATCTAAGTCCGTGGTTCTAATAAAAGTATTCCTTGGAATATGGCTGAACTGGGCTATTTACCACTTTCTGATTTCAGAAAATTCCACAAAGAATATTAAAATCTCATCATGCTCAAAATATTTGACATATTGAGTATATAGTTCGGTTGCTACCGTAAGTATTAATAAGTGCATTGTAAGATGTAAACGGTCACGGACAACACTTCGGTTCCATGCACCAAACTTTAATGTGCTATCCAAGTCCGTGACTAGACACACTCCTAAAGGTTAGAGTTACTTCCCTTCGCTAGGATATAGATGGCGCTATGTGCAATGTTGTTCCGCCGCCATCTTGCACGCTTTCTTGTTGGGTCAACATTTCGTATGTAATTTCCAATTTACTTTAAGTGAAAATGTCCGGACAATACATACAGGTAGCGGAAGAAGAAGGAGAGGAACCGATAGAAATTCCCAGCGAGGATGACATAACGTTACTTCTGTCCACGCTTGCTGCCCAGTTCCCGGGAGCATGTGGGATGAAATATAGAAACCCAGTCAGCGGCAACTTCCGGGGGATACGATTATCTGATGGCAAACTTCACCCTCCAGACGGGGCATGGGGACATTACGTATTTGTTGTTGTTTTTCCTAAAGGTATAAATGTGTTAATATGTTTTAAGTTAGTAATAGCTTTGTAGCGTTTTAGTAAACAGCCGAATGTGACACGTATGACACATGTGCTATAGGCCTACACTACAGATGAGCACGTGAACCAGTAACGCTATGGGGGCACATATATTTCGGTACTACCGTGTGCAGGAGATGACTCGGTACTTATGATAAAAGGTGTTTTTGCAGTTGGAAATAAGCACAAAATATGACAATATATGTTACACAACACAGGCATTAAGGACGAATGGATAAAGTAGTATGTAAAAATAGGCCTAAATATATCTTAAACCCCAAATGACATGAATGTTGTAGATGTATTTCCATATTTACAATGTCAGCATCTTTATCCAAAAATACAGAAAATACTTTTTATAAGATTTACTGAAAATTCTTGTCTAAGTAACAAAGTTTCTCGGCACTAAATGTGTTAAATTCATCACTCAATAATCAGAAGCAGCTAATTAGTAATTACTCTCTGCGTTTCAGACGGGCGGAGATTTTTGGAATGGCCTCAACATGTTCAGGATCTCTTAAAAAAATTGCAAATCAAATTGATTCCGTAATCTAACTTGGTGTTTTCTTTTATACCAAAGTATGTCCACATACTTTATTTACAATAGTTGGAACAATTATTTATTTACCGGTACCTGCATTTACAATCTTAAAGTTTTCTCTTAATTTCAATCATATGACAAGACCTCCTACATGCCAAACAATTGAGATAACCTACTGTTCTGTAAAGATATGAAATGCTCCTTGTTGACGTTGTTGTTGACAGAGTTGCAGAGATAATGAATCTTTCCATCCCTACATGGAACATATTTGGGCGTGTTTTGGTATGAGTGCTAAGTGTGCATGGAGAAAAATTCTTTTAAAGCCTATAGAGGACTCTCTTACTATCCTCACCCCTTCAAAAAATAATTTAAAGAGAATTTTGAATAATGGGATATTTTCTCCAATGAAAATTTTACTGTTTATGGGAGCAAATATTCAGTTTTACTGCGAAAGACATGAATGGAAACATATAAATTGCTTTGTAGGAAAAGTTGCAAAAAAGAGGTCACCTTTTTTAGTATCAAATGACACAAATTAATGCACAAAAACATTGAATTCTTATATAATTATATTGTATTTTGACAAAACATACCACTGTTATCTACACCAATAGCTTTAATACAGTGAAATTCCATTCTCAGGGAAAAACATACTGATACACATGTTTTCAACAAATAGAATCACCTAGCTATCGTACGTTTCACTTGAAAGTGACAAACCAACAGATTACTTATCAGTGGTATATTTGGTGAAATTGCCTAGAAACTTTACATGATAATGAAAAATAATTTTGTACTCATGCTTGTCGTACTAAATATATGTGAATATATTTCAGAAAGACCCCCCTTTTTTGTCTGAGTTTTTGGTAATAATTCAGACGTGTTCATGTGCTTTTTCGATAGTTGAAGTAACATGAAGCTAGGTATTATGAAAAGATTGTTGTAACACAACCAGTAAGTATTAAGTGAAGCTAGGTAAATCTGGGTTACCAGTTGTGTTTAAATATTGTCTCTACTTCGATAAAACAAACATTAAAACTATCTTGAATAATAGAAGTGTGCTGTGGTAAAAAACACAAGAAGTTTTAATAGAACCCTAAATTTTAAATATAAATATTTAAAGCTTAGTTGATTTGAATAATTGCTTTTTTATACAGGTCCAGTACACTCTGCCGATTGAGATATATACCTGTATTAGCTATATTTTCTCAGATTTCAATTTTCATTATATTTATAGCAAAGTCGCATAAAACAATAAGGGTTATGGTAATGTTGATTACAAAAAGCATACAGTTGGATATTTATATTTATTTTTTATATATGTAAAATTTCCGATTTTTTTACATCATTATTTTTTAAAAAGAATACTTATATTTAATGTCTTTTGTAATCAACCTTATGATACTATCTTCTTTTAATAGCGACTTTGTTACGTTTTCCTTTAAAAAGAAAATCACATGAAAATAACTCAAAAGACCTATTTCAGATATGTCAATAGAGCTATTATAGGTCTTGACAGCTATATAGCTCAATCGGCAGTGTACTGGACCTGTTATATATCGTGAAATAAAAAATTGAATTCAAACGCCAGTCTGTTTCAATTTTGATAATAGTTAAATGTCTGTTATGCATGAGTATTGTGACTGAACCTGATGTACACAGTGTATAATCTTATTTGATTTCTGTCTTTCAGATAACAAAAGGAAAGGGGAAGAAGTTATTGAAAATGCTATTGCCAAGACAAAATGTATAGAAAAACAACGATGTAGTGACCTGATAGTATTAGGTCTACCATGGAAAACGAATGAAAAGGAGCTAAGAGAATATTTTTCCAAATACGGAGATCTCCTTCTAGTTCAGGTATGTTGTATATACTTGTACTAGCCTTATTCCTTCAGATAAGGTTTTAGAGTATTCTTGGTAATCTGATAATGTTAGGTCTGGAACTGCCATAGAAAAGCAACTAATGGAACATTTTTCCAAGCACAGAGATCTCCTTGGGTAGCCTTGGAATGATTAATTTACTGTCCCAAAGTTAAAGTTTCAGAGAAAGTACTGGCCAAGACCTGTATTTAATGCACATATAAAGTAAATGAGAAATCACTGGCCAAGACCTGTATTTAATTTTAATGCACATATAAAGTAAATGAGAAATCACTGGCCAAAACCTGTATTTAATTTTAATGCACATATAAAGTAAATGATTCATTAGAACTTTCCAAACTTAAGATTGATTCTGTTGAGACTGTTTAATTGATAATTGAAATATCTTAACAGTATTTTTAGCCCACTATCATGAGACGATGGAATATTTATGCTTGAATCACCCTTCGTCAGAGATTTATTCTTGATGATTGTCCTTCTTAAACAATTTTAGTTCTCAAGAAGTACTTGATAGATCTATCTCAATTTCATTTGAAGATTTCTCTAAGTCTCTAGTTGTGACTTTCATTTTGAGATCAGTAAAATCAGATGGTTGTCAGGTAGCCATTTATATTTTGACAGTTTAAGTTTTCTATTGCTACTTTTCAAGAATTAATTCACAGATCTTTCTCAAATTTTATACAAGTAGGTTGCCCTTGGTCCTTCATTGTGTACAATTCATTTTGAGACTGCTCAGAAAAACAAGATAGCCACCAAACATCTATATTGGTTTTTCTACAGTTCATGTTGCTGCTATTTCTGTAAAACTACTTCTCACATTTTTCTTAAAATTTACATTTGGGTTACCCTATGAAAAGTATCATCATGTTCAATTTTCATACTATTTAAGTAAATAGACCAGAGGACAAGCAAACATTGAAAGGACACTGGCCAAACCAGTCATATGGAGTTTCAGTACAAAGTTATCATAAGTTGCATTTACTGTTGGCAAGATTGTTTATCCAACAGGTAAAAAAAATATTGAACTTAATGTAAACGGAACTAATAAAGATCTTGTAAATGGTGGATGCAAAGATCCCTCTTTAATTTTTTGTTCTTTCTTTATTAATGTCTTGATTGGTCACACTTTTATGCTACAGGTGAAGCGAGACCCCAAAACACAGTATTCCAAAGGCTTTGGGTTTATCCGATTTGCCGAGTATGACTCCCAAGTAAAGTGTTTGGCAGATCGACATCATATAGATGGCAGGAGGTGTGATGTAACAATCCCAAACTCAAACGTACGTATAACATATCATAAAAGTCCAGCAGTAAAAACCAGCAAAATCTTTATTCCTATCAAGTTTCTGACTTATATAACTGTAACGTAGGAGTGTCAGGGTGCTTTACAAGGTTAGTAACTGTCTATATAACTGTTATGTAGGAGTGTCAGGGTTCTGTACAAGGTTAGTAACTGACTATATAACTGTAATGTAGGAGTGTCAGGATTCTGTACCAGGTTGGTAACTGACTATATAACTGTAATGTAGGAGTGTCAGGGTTCTGTACAAGGTTAGTTACTGACTATATAACTGTAATGTAGGAGTGTCAGGGTGCTTTACAAGGTTAGTAGCTGTCTATATAACTGTAATGTAGGAGTGTCAGGGTTCTGTACCAGGTTGGTAACTGACTATATAACTGTAATGTAGGAGTGTCAGGGTTCTGTATCAGGTTGGTAACTGACTATATAACTGTAATGTAGGAGTGTCAGGGTTCTGTACAAGGTAAGTAACTGTCTATATAACTGTAATGTAGGAGTGCCAGGGTTATGTACAAGGTTAGTTACTGACTATAGCTGTAATGTAGGAGTGTCAGGGTTCTGTACAAGGTTAGTAACTGTCTATATAACTGTAATGTAGGAGTGCCAGGGTTATGTACAAGGTTAGTAACTGTCTATATAACTGTAATGTAGGAGTGTCAGGGTTCTGTACAAGGTAAATAACTGACTATATAACTGTAATGTAGGAGTGCCAGGATTCTGCACAAGGTAAGTAACTGTCTATATAACTGTAATGTAGGAGTGTCAGGGTTCTGTAGAAGGTTAATAACTGTCTATATAACTGTAATGTAGGAGTGTCAGGGTTCTGTACAAGGTTAGTAACTGTCTTTATAACTGTAATGTAGCAGTGTCAGGGTTCTGTACAAGGTAAGTAACTGACTATATAACTGTAATGTAGGAGTGTCAGGGTTCTGTACAAGGTAAGTAACTGTCTATATAACTAATGTAGGAGTGTCAGGGTTCTGTACAAGGTTAGTAACTGACTATATAACTGTTATGTAGGAGTGTCAGGGTTCTGTACAAGGTTAGTAACTGTCTATATAACTGTAATGTAGGAGTGTCGGGGTTCTGTACAAGGTAAGTAACTGTCATATAACTAATGTAGGAGTGTCAGGGTTCTGTACAAGGTAAGTAACTGTCTATATAACTGTAATGTAGGAGTGTCGGGGTTCTGTACAAGGGAAGTAACTGTCATATAACTAATGTAGGAGTGTCAGTGTTCTGTACAAGGTAAGTAACTGACTATATAACTGTAATGTAGGAGTGTCTGGGTTCTGTACAAGGGTAGTTACTGACTATAACTGTCATGTAGGAGTGTCAGGGTTCTGTACAAGGTAAGTTTCTGACTATATAACTGTAATGTAGGAGTGTCTGGGTTCTGTACAAGGGTAGTTACTGACTATAACTGTCATGTAGGAGTGTCAGGGTTCTGTACAAGGTAAATAACTGACTATATAACTGTAATGTAGGAGTGTCTGGGTTCTGTACAAGGTAAGTAACTGTCATATATCTAATGTAGGAGTGTCAGGGTTCTGTACAAGGTAAGCAGCTGTCTATATAACTGTAATGTAGGAGTGTCAGGGTTCTGTACAAGGGAAGTAACTGTCTATATAACTGTAATGTAGGAGTGTCGGGGTTCTGTACAAGGGAAGTAACTGTCATATAACTAATGTAGGAGTGTCAGGGTTCTGTACAAGGTAAGTAACTGTCTATATAATTGTAATGTAGGAGTGTCAGGGTTCTGTGCAAGGTAAGTAACTGTCTATATAACTGTAATGTAGTAGTGTCAGAGTTTGCTCCCTTCTCACCTCTTACTGTATATTGCACAGTAATAGATTTATATATAACTAATGACTATTTTTCAGATCAGTAGCATAAAATGTATTCTCAAATTGGTTTTAAAAAGAAATATCTAGATAATAATAAAAAAAATGGTAGATTGCAGTAGATTTTGTTTCTCAGTTGGATGTTTTTTTACTATCCAAAATATATTGCAAGGATTACTATTAAAGCATTTCCCTTAAACTGTGGGTAGATATAATAAAGCAAGAATATTGAGTACCAAAATTGTATTGAGATCACAGCAACTAAAGGACATCGTGTTGAGAACCAAAACTTGATCTTATCAACCTGAATTTGGGACTCAAATCAAGGGAAATGTGTTTCTGGAGCATTTCTCCTAAGATCTTTAACTCATTCACACCCAAAGACACATTTGAATTCTTCCGATTCAAAGGGTGGAATAGTCCATTATAAGATTTTAGGGGTGCATGAGTTTACGTAAGATCATCATGTCTCATGATCATAGGAGTCTTACATAAATTCTACCAATTGGCATTTATTGACATAATCATGTCAAGGTTTATAGGAAAAATTGTTAATATTTCTGTTTCGTTTTTTCATATTGTAGGAAGGGGCCCAACAGTTTGTAAGCAGAAAGGTGTTTGTAGCACGTTGTACAGAAGATATCACAGCTGATGACCTTCACACTTACTTCAGCAAGTTTGGCGAAGTTATTGATGTGTTCATTCCAAAGCCATTTCGGGCATTTGCCTTTGTCACCTTTGCTGACCCTGCCATTGCAAGGAGTTTATGCGGAGAAGACCACATAATCAAATCAACTAGTGTTCATGTCACAACAGCAGCACCCAAAAATAGTGGGGACAAATTTGATGGGAAGGGAAATTATAACCGAGGAGGTGGGGGGCCCAAGGGCTGGAACCAGGGCCACCAGGCTAACTGGGGAAACACGGGGGGGAAACCAATCAGCACTATCGGGGGAAATCAACCTACGCCCGACCCAAATCTAGCAAACAGCATTGGTATGAACCTCATGTTAGCAGCAGCACAAGCAGTCTTAAGTCAAGGACAAATGCCACCTCCCCAGCAACAGGTTGGGGAAAACTACACCCAAGCTACTAATCAGGGCTTTGATAGCACACGACAAACAAACAGTGGTAGTGGGTTTTTTGGGGGAGGCTGGGGTTCCAATGAGGCAAACAATACCACCGGTGGGTATGCAAACTGGGGTGGGGGACAACAAACTCAAGGACAACGGAGTGGATGGAATTAGTTATAGCCTGGCCATTGTCCCTTCCATTTCTCGTATACATCAGAAAGAAGAAATGTTTTAATGAGATATATATTTAGCTCAGATCATTAGGACTGTACTCGGAATGGTTGTATACCACAAATAGTTTATAAAGGTTATTTGCCACTAGCTAACAATTTACAAGAATACAAATTTCGTCATTGTATTGACAACATGCAAATAGCCGGAGGTCCGTATGGGTGTCAATGATTGTCCTTGTGAGAGTTTTGAGAATATTGTAATGATACTGTGCATGAATTGAGACTTGTTTCACATTACTTAAATAAGTGGTTCAAAAATTGGAATTGGAGTAGTTCTTTACAGCACAATCAAGTTACACATAGTCTCAAAACTCCACAGACAGTCAATAAGTCATAAAAAGTGGTGTTTTTTTTATCTTTTTACTGGTGGTATATAAATTCTCAGAAGTTGATGAAACAGTTTCTTTTTGAATTATGAATTTCCTTTAATATCCAAATATGAAATTGTGTAGCATCAAAATTGAAATTTTGCTTTGGATGAAATTGTAAATACTTTCAGTTTTACTTTAATTTTTAAATTTTACATTTAAAAATCATGCATGTCAAATTAGTGATAACTACATTACAGTCAAATCAGGTGATCCTCTCTAATGTTGAAAAATAAACACTCAATCCTTAAGAAAATTTGAACATCCATTTTCTGCAAAGGTGAAATATTTCCTGCTTATTAAGGTTTTTTTGATTTTTAGCTTATGCTATATCCCAAGTAGTCTCCATTTTACCATTACTCTTCTAAACCAGGCTGTCACAAAATTGACTTTGTTTGAACAAGTCAGATTGTTAAGAATTTTGTTATACTGCAGTTGTAGTTTTAGAGGCCATTCTGTAGTTTGAGAGGCTTACTTAGAGGGAACTACTATTGTAGCTTTTAGTTTAAATGCATAAAGAAAAGTGTTTGTCTGTATTCTGAGCGTATTTTATTTAAGAAAAAAATATTCATTTACAAAAATTTACCTATAATTGTGTAAATATTCTTCCCCCGAAGAAGTTTACACGGAACATATTTTGTAACCTATCAAATTCAAGAAATATTTTTTTCTCATAAATTTGTTAATTCATTTAAATATTGATGAAATGCAATAACTTGAACATATAATTACAAAAATGAAATTGAATTATTTTACGGAATATTTTGTTAAATAAAAAGTCATTAATACTTGTATTAAACTATACTTGTGTATTCCAGAAAACTTATGTCTTGACATAAGATTATTTCCTTTTAAAACATAGCCACTTTGTTTATGAGAAATGGATGGCACACTAGCCTAGATTAGTTAGTATGTGGGACTGGTATATAAGGAAGTAGCAGAAATGATAGGCATTAGGATGGATGTGTCATCATTTTACCAAACACTATGCCACACTTTGCATATACTTTCTTTTCTTTCTGGTTATCTGTGTTGATGTCAGCTTATACACTTCAAACATTTACAAGCCCAGCATGGACAAAAGACAAATAATCATGGACTCCAGAGACGCGGATATTCATCTGATTTGATGGAGGAAGACCAGTACTTTTATCAGGTAGTATGTGTGGTGAACTGAACAACTAAGGGCCGCAAGTTGGTGAAAGAATTTGGAAGACGTGTGGAGTACAAAAAACGAACATTTTTTGGAAGAAACAACTTGTAAGTGATTTGATATGGTGTGTTGTAAAGTGAAGTGCTAATTCTTTGGAAGTGTTTTGGAGGGATGTAAAAGGACACGCCGAATGAAACTGGAGTGTTGCATTGTTGAAAATCGTGGAAGATTTTATGTTGTGCGGTGGCTTTTGTATGTACTTGTAAGGGTGCTTAGAAAGGAGTGTGAATAAAACTTATACTGCAAATTGTAGTAAGAATATATAATGTGGTCAAGAATTGTCTTTTTTTTTCATTAATCAGCATTACTAGCTGTTTTGTATTTTTCAGCTGACAATCATTTCCATGTTGAGGGTGTGTCGAAAACTTCAGTGAAGATCTATACTCCAGATATATATGGATACATTTCTGTCACTTTGTAGTATGAAGTGAAGTTATACTTGATCTAAACATATACTTTTTCAGAAAAGATCAATTGAATATATATATAATCTGCCTATTAATTAATCAAGAGAAGATCAATTTACAGATAGCTGGTAAACTCTTTATCTACCCTGTCTGTCGGATGAATTGCAATTGCAAAGATCAATAATATATAAACACTTGAAAAAAGATACATGTTCATCAAATATAAATAGGGCTGTCAATTACTCAAATAACTTAAGTGCGGATGAGTTGGTTATTGTTACCAGTTCCAAACCAACCTACTGATCTCGGCCCACTCTGCAGCTACCATCATCATGAATGTGTATCATCAACACATTTATATAACATTTTTACCTATATTGATGAATCGGTTGACTTCATTCGACACTTCATTGTATATAGCATGAAATAAAAATAAAAATTCAAAACAAGCATGAATATGACACAACAGCCTAATTGTACAAAATAACTACATATCTACATTATGTATATCTTGGAGAATGTATTAGTAACCACTGTGGTTTAATTGTTCATAGCCCACTGGAGATGGCAGTCCTGAGCTATAATGATCACATTTTCTACGGCACTTAACATATTTTCTAGATTTGACAGGAAATGTTGTAAAGAGTAAAAGTTGTGAAATATGAAATGCTCACACTTTGAAGCACTAGGTTCTCCATGATTTGGTATCTTTCTTGCCGTTCTCTATTCCTACTGATTCTGTGTGTTGATGAACATCTACGATGAAAGGTAGATATACAATGGCTTTTAAATGTAGTGATACACTTGATTGAAATCCAAAAATCCATCATAATCGAGATGGGAATATCAATCATCTATCTACTTGCAATGTTGAAACTGAAAACCGAGACCAATTATAATAAAAATGATGATACATGTACCTAGCCATTATTTAAAACAAATGCAAAGTTCCATTAAAAAAAGGAGATAACTAAGGTATCCAGTATAAAAAGATGAAATACAGAGATTTATTTCGTGAAATATTCATATACAGAAACTTATTCTGCATCATGTAAGGTAACATCTTTATTATCTGGAAGGTTAAAATGAATCATGTGCAATATTTGAACACAGAAATGCATTATGTTCACAGTTTAATTATAGGGAAGTATACCCGTTACATAATAAGCTACTCGGTAGTAACATGCAGTTCCATGCTGCTTACAGAATTTACATGCAATTGTTGATTCGTTTGTCCAGATCCTGTCCTGGGTATCGACTTTGCTGGATAGATTATCCAATCCACAAGCGACAACAAGACCAGAAGTTTTTATTTGAGGGTTCTATGTTCGTTGTAAGGAAGTGAACGGTTGTCGCCATGACCTGAAATCTAAAATTAAATACCAAGACTGTTCACATAGACCAACATGTGTGGATTTGAAGTTCAGAGAAATGACGAGTGTCGTATTTGCTGGAAACGCTCGCCCATCCATGCAGAGCACCAGTGGCGCGGAATGTCACAAGGGATCGTTGTCTTTTCCTTTTGTATGTTTCCTCTATTTCTCGAGTCTTCTTGTGTCAAAAATTCGAATTTTGTCCCTGAATGGTGACTGGCATAATTTAAACCACCTTCATCTATGAGATGTTGGGTTGTTCAAGTTGCCTCGATTTCGCCACCCGTCATCTGTCCTTTAACACACGTTTCATGGGTTAAGAATGACTTGGTAAAAATGGCACTCCCAAAGATTTGATCGACTTTCTGTAAATATGCCATCCCAAATGATATATAATCATTCAGAGTGGCATTTTTACCGAAAGTGGATCTAAACCCGTGAAACATGTAAAATTACTCTGAACACCTTAGTTGGTCCAAATATATCCACTATTGCATATCTAGATATCAAGTCAAACAGTGATGCTGAAACACTTCAAAAAGATCTTGACAAACTAGCGCTCTGGGAAAATGATCTTCCACCCAAACAAATGCAATGTGTTGTCGGTGACTAAAAACAAAACTCCAATAGTCCATAATTATACTTTACATGGACACATACTGGAACATCTTAGTCAGGCCAAGTATCTGGGTGTGACACTATCATCTGACCTTAAATGGGATTCACATATAAATACTATCTGCCCAAAAGCAAATTCTACGCTAGGCTTTTTAAGACGAAATCTTAAAATTGGCTCGACATCAACCAAAGTACAGGCATACAAATCATTAGTTCGACCATCACTTTGAGTATGCCTGTACAGTATGGGACCCTCACACCCAAACAAATATTGACAAGTTGGAAATGGTCCAGCGAAGGGCAGCGCGCTATGTGCTCAATAAGCACAGGTACAACCATCGTACCTCCAGTGTGTCAGAAATGTTGGACCACCTAAAGCTGCGCCCTCTAGCAGATAGACGTAGAGATGCTCGTCTGACCATGCTTCATAACATTGTAAACCAGAAAGTCGCTATCGTAAAATCAGACAGATTAATCCCTACAGTTAGAAAATCCCGAACAAACCACCAGTTTTCGTATCAAATTCCCCACTCAAAAACCCAGACCAGAAAGGCATCATTCTTCCCTCGAACTAGACCCGAGTGGAATAAACTCCCACCTGACATTATTTCGAGCCCCACAACGGAATTATTCAAATCAGCCCTCTGCCGTCACCTTTCAAACGCAAATTAGACCATCTCGTATCTTTTAAAAACAATCTCTTTCCATGTTTCACTCCTCGTCTGACATTTTATCTTCAAATTGTTGAAGTTGGTCAGTACCATTTAGAACTAGAACTAGAATATAGCTGTAACAAAACTCTCAGACCCTTGTGTAGGTTACCCTCGATCTTAATTGTTTGATTAGAAAATTAGCATTAGAATATGTAATTAGGAACTGTAATTATGTAAAAATTAATTTCGGATTTTTTTTTTAATTTGTCTCTTTTAAAATAATCCTCTTATACGCCAACTCAGTACACCGGAGACCAAATATAGGAATTTTTGGTCGATATTCCAAATTTAACGAATGTTTAGATAGATATCCGTTTTCCAGACGGAAAGTAATTACAGTATAAAACATTTTTAAAAAGTTGATAAAAGACGAGAAGCACAATATGATACAACAAGTCTTGCCTCTCAACAATTCTTCAAGGTAATGGAATCGGCAGTCACAAATTAGAGGTAGTAGTATCATCAAGACGCTCCATGAATATCTGTCAACCTCTGAAATATTACTTGAGATCACAGTTGTTGGCATTGTCCAGATGTGCGTGGTATAGTATCACGAACTGAGTAATATATTGTTCTGGGGTCATTGTATCCAACAACGGAGAGGATGAATATTTACAGGTATTGGTTTTATGGTTGTAAACTTCAAAATGTTGTATCTTCTGTTTAGAAGGTCGGTGTCCTGTATAGCCTTGTTTGAAGTATGAACCGCACGATGAACAAGACATCAATTGCAAAGTTCTGTGTTTTATCATTCAACCTACTGATTTAATACGTTTGAACTCGCAAACTTCTAAAACCATAACTAAACACGTTTATCTACTGAATGAAGTACTGTTGAAACTAAACTTGGTTTGAAACAGCCGTGATGTAACAAAATGGCCACATAAAGACGCAGCGCAAACTGTTGTGTTTTTCATAGGTAACTATAGTTAGTTTTGAAATGCTCTCCGTGACAAGACGCTCGCCAATGGGACCACAAAAACATAGTTAAAATTTCTGGAAACACCGATGAGAAAAATAAATAAACCATATACAGAAGACTGACCTGACTCCGGGTCAATAAAATAACCTCTGGCTAGGCTGATTCTAAGCATTTGGACGATTTTTAATGATTAGTGGGCGGGAATGGTTGGGTTTAAATATTTCTACTACTGCGAAAGTACGTTGGAAAAGGAGTTGCTTTGTCGAACTTCCGATGGAGATCTTTCTGGTGAAACATTGTTTTTCCCTAGTACATTTGTCCCTCTGTTGTAGGTACAACTTCCTTGTTGATGGCGACGAGACCATTGTGGATGTTGTGAAGGATATCAAACTGCCTGTCATACGTCAATGAGTTTTATGACTTTCTCATTTGGGGCTCTTTCTCGAGCTGTTCGACGTTTTACTTACTCTGTTGCATTGATGTCATTTGTCAAATTGAGTCCTAAATCGGTTGTTACGCAATGATGATTTTATAATCAGGATGTACTTGACTGCGTTGACCAGTAACCTGCTTCCTAAAAATCCCTTTAATTCATTAACCCCTGAAGACGCATTTGAGCTCCTCCAATTCAAAGGTTGGAATAGTTCATTATGAAATTTCAGGGGTGAATGAGCTAAAGTCCTGTTTCCCTTTGCGATCTTGTTATTGATGTATTTCGTCCAGTTCAGGTAATACATTTTATGATTACTGGTCATTTGTGAGTGATGTACTCAATATCAGTTTTTGTATCATATCCATTAAGAACGAAAAAGTTATATAACCTTATGTATGTGTATATGCTCTTAACGAAATGCAGATAAATAACAACATTACAAGCCACAGGCTGTCCGTTGATGTCTTACCAATGAGATACCTGAAACGAGATAACTTAGTAATTTCTAAAACTCTGATATGAAAGATATGATGAAAGCCATGTTTCTTTTTAATATATACTGCCTTACTGGAGCTTATTAACACAAAACTTGTCAAATATTACAAAAATACCAATGATCACACACCCAATTTATAGTTCGGGAATTATCATTCATCCCACACCTTGTATGTTCGTGATGCCATAATTTCATCAAGACCTTTTAAAGTTCATATGAGATTCAGGGAGTTATTACTTAATGAATGACATTCAGGAGAAGAAGTCACAGGCATTGCTGCCGCTATATCCACATCAATATAGTTTGAA